TCTTCTGGACATTCGTCACATGGCCTGGGCGATAAATTCGTTCAAAGTCGCGGGGGACCGATGGCATCATATCTGCGCAGCTGCAAAGGGCTCTGAAGGTGTCGTGCAATAGGTTCTATCTATGCATGAGGACCGGGTACCTCCCCAAGGCTTGGAGAGTGGTCAGTGTTGCGTTCATCCCGAAGGCCGGAAAAGGTTATCATGTTTCTCCTAGGGATTTTAAGCCTATTGCAAGAAAAGGTCGGTGAATACCGTCCTGAACACAGTGGTAAAGTCGTCAGAGGAGGCTTTCACGCAGGAAGTTTATGCAGTAGGGGCCTCTTCGATATCGAGGGGGCCTTCAACAATGTCACTCCAGAGGCAATAGTCAAGTATATTCATAATCTGGGGGTTGACACCAACCTAATAAGCTTACTTTATGACAGAACTGTCGCGACGGAGTGAGGGAGTCAATGGGAGCACTCCGAACGGTGGTGTTCTCTCTCTCCTACCCTGGATTGGGGTTGTAAACGACCTTCTAGAGGAACTGGAAAAGTTGGCTGTCGAGTGATATCCTATGTAGATGATGTGGAACTTTTGGTTAAGGGACAATTTCTATACTCCCTTTTTGATGTGGGCCAAGGTTACCTGAACCAGGTAACTAGGTGGGCGATCAACGGCGGCTAAACATTGAGGAAAGGGTACGAAAGGTGCGATTGGTATTCATGTGGTGAGACTAGAAACTGACTAGAGACTGATCCTTTTGTATAAGCTGTCAAGAGAAAGTTGAAGTGGAATCATCTTAACACTTTTTTTTAGACTGTCCAACCTTCGCGAGGCTAAGGCGGACACATTTTGGCTCGCACTTGTGAACACACACTGAGCTCTCAGGGATAGAAATTAGCCGCATTCGAGGTTTCGTAATCGGCTCGCGGCGTTAACTTAACCCAACCTAACCTGTAGTTCTTTGAGCTATGAAATAGTTGGTCACATGACACATGCACTTTCTTAAGTTTTGATTAGATGGCAATTCAAAGTATGCTCTGCCTGCCCACTGCGTTATTCATCGGCGGTAAAAATGCTGCCGCCGCAATTACTAATGAGCAATTCCATATGCCTTTGTCAGTTTTAATTTTGACAGCAGTTAACCGACGACCGCTCTACCGTCGTCCGCTGCAATTCTCGGTAGAGCTTTAAGCGATAATAGCTACCCATGAAAAATTTCTTGAGTTAAGAGAAATGAAATGAGCTTGTATAATTATTTCATTATTATCTTTTGTTTGAAATAGAAAAATTTAACTCACATTAATTTTAAAATAAATCTGAAAAGATTAGGAGTTTAAGGTGTTGCTCCCTTTAAATTTATTTATGTTGTATTTTTTGGGAAATAATTCTTAATGTTAGGGGAACAGACTTTGACTTCGCAACCCCACAGCTGATTTATTTGACAGCGTGTCAAGCCGCATTTGCCCAAACAAGCTTTTAAAGTAAATCAAAGCAAACCACTGAGGGGAGCAAAGCAAGCCTACATTGGGCCAGTTGAATTTTTTTATTTAGAACAATAAATCAATAGAAAATTTTATAGAAACATGAAAATTTTCATAAACATACCAATTTAAAATTGCATGGATACATAAAAATTTTCATAAAACGATACTTCAATAGTAATACTTTTAAATAACTTAAAACACAAATTAAAATTTAAATAAAAATCACACCAAATTACAAATTTCTAGATATGTATGTATGTACATTAGGATGGTCCAAAATAAGTAAAGTCGGAATTTTAATGCTCTCACCTCCTAGGATTTCTTCACATGGAACAAGTATTGTATTTTGAAATCAAAAAATATTTAGAGGAACGGTTGCCACACACATGGAAAAAATTTTACCAAAATTATTTAAAAATATTACCAACAAGTAAGAAAGTCTAAGTTCGGGCGGAGCCGAACATTAAATACCCGGCGCAAGTATTAAATATATGTTTTTTCACCTTTCCGAAACCTTCCGCTAGATGGTAAGCCGGGGTGTATCAACTAGCGTCCTAAATTTCGAAATATTGCAGTTTCAAGCATTTCTGAAATTTACCGTTATATGAAAAGCGGCCGTAATTTTAGTCCGATCTCAATATTTTTCAACGTTTTTCTTTTATGTGGCAAGCACAATAACCATACCGAGTTTGGTACAAATTGGTAGAACAGTTACCGATATACATATATGTGATCATAAGTGGGCGGTGCCACGCCCATTTTCAAAAATTTTACCATAAACGTATTTCTTGGTAAAGAATTGTTGCAAACATCAATTTTGAATAAATAAGCATTTATATTTACTGATTTATCGAAGATTTTGTATTTTTCTAAATTACCGTTATATGGGATGTGGGCGTGGTTATTGTTCTTATTTTTGATCTAAAAGTTGTTGTAAATATCAATTTGGAGTGAATAATCTTCAGTAGTTACTAAAATATCGCAGTTTTCGTATTTCCGCAAATTAACATTATATGGGATGTGGGCGTGGTTATTGTCCGATTTTTTAAATTTTCAGCCATTTAGTATCCTGTATCAACGCCAACAACTGTGCCAAGTTTGGAAGAAATAGTAGCAACGGTTACCAAGATATACACATGTAACCATAAGTGGGCGTGGCTACGCCCATTTTCCAAAAGTTTATAATATTCTTATTTTTCGTCTGAAAATTATTGTAAATATCAATTTTGAGTGAATTATCTTCAGTAGTTCCTAAAATATCGCAGTTTTCGTATTTCTGGAAATTATCGTTATATGGGAAGTGGGCGTGGTTACAGTCCGATTTCGCCCATTTTCAATACCAACCTACCTTGGACTAACGAAAACCTACGTACCAAATTTCGTTGAGATATCTCAATTTTTGCTCGAGTTATCGTGTACACGGACGAACGGACAGAAGTTACCAAAAGTATTAAAAGTCTTTTTTCCCCGAGCGCACTTGTGCACAAGGGTATATTAATTTTGTTCACATAACGGTTGTTTGTAACAGCCAAAACGAATCGAGATAGATATAGACAAATGTATACATAAATGCTCAGAATGAATAGAGAAATCGATTAAGCCATGTCTGTCAGTACGTCCGTCTGTCCGTCTGTCCGTCGGTCCGTGTACACGATAACTCGAGCAAAAATTGAGATATCTCAACGAAATTTTGTATGTACGTTTCTGTTAATCCAAGGTAGGTTGGTATTGAAAATGGGCGAAATCGGACTGTAACCACGCCCATTTCCCATATAACGGTAATTTCCAGAAATACGAAAACTGCGATATTTTAGTAACTACTGAAGATAATTCACTCAAAATTTATATTTACAATAATTTTCCGACGAAAAATAAAAACATTATAAATTTTTGGAAAATGGGCGTAGCCACGCCCACTAATGGTTACATGTGTATATCTTGGTAACCGCTGCACCAATTTCTTCCAAATTTGACACGGTTGTTGGCCTTGGTACACCATACCATTTTTTAAATCGGACAATAACTACGCTCACATCCCATATAACGGTAATTTAGAGAAATACAAAAACTTCGATAAATCAGTAAATACAAAAGCTAATTTATTCAAAATTTATGCTTGGAACAACTCTTAACCAAGAAATACGTTTATGATAAAATTTTGGAAAATGGGCGTGGCACCGCCCACTTATGGTCACATATATGTATCTCGGTAACCGTTCTACCAATTTGTACCAAACTCGGTATGGTTATTGTGCTTGCCGCATAAAAGAAAAACGTTGAAAATTATTGAAATCGGACTAAAATTGAGGCTGCTTTTCATATAACGGTAAATTTCAGAAATGATTGAAACTTCAATAGTTCGAAATTTAAGGACGCTAATTTACTCAAAATTGATACACCCCGGATTACCATGTAGCGGTAGCTTTCGGAAAGGTGAAAGTCATATATTAAATACTTGAACCGGGTATTTAATGTTCATCTCCGCCCGAACTTAGACTTTCTTACTTGTTTCTTTTGTAATAAACAATGGGCGTTACATTTACACTTTCGAGCTTATATGAAAGTTGCTACGCAACTGTTATGTTAACCTATCGATTATCTTTCTTAGTAGCTTGGCTTTTAATGAAAATTTGATATCCTGTGAAATTATCGATTTATAGATTTTCATCCCTTTAGACCAATTCCTTGTATTTTTATTTGATTAAATTTAAATCAACTTTAACATTGTAAATAAACTACTACGTAGTACGGAAATAAATCTCTTTTGAGGAAAGGATAGCTTCATTATTTCACAGGTTATTATTAAAATCTCGTCAAC